CAAGAAATGAGTCAACTTCATTGCATTCTTGAAATCCAAGCAGTTCTGCAACTTTTCTTTGTCAGAAAATTGTCGAATAAAATCGTCAAATGCTTCATCTCGAAGATCCATAATATTTAAAGGTAGAAGTTTTGTATTTGCAGGTGAATATTTGGAAGTAGGCATCATAATATCAGCAAAATTTATTAAATAAACAACATGTGTAAGTTTGTGTGAAAAGATAGGACTGAACGAAAAAAACGAACAAGACACAAATATTTTTCTCGTTCTATCTCGTCTTACATTAGCGAATGAACACGAGACAACAGAACGGAAAAATATCTAGGTTACAAATTAACTATCTACCGTTTATCATTATTCTCTTACATTTATATTATTTCAACGTTATCTATTGCAGTAACATAATTCATTCCGTCTTGATGACTACATGACAAGCATGTTTGTTGGTGTCAAAAGAAAACACTTTGTACTTGATGATTGTTAATGATTTGCAATGATTTATTTGATTTCAATCAGCTTTCCCCTCCCCCCCCCTTGTATTCGATCCGATTCGGCAATGAAAATATTCAATTCAATTCGATTCGGTTCAGACAGTTTTTTAAATGTGTTATGTATTTTTACATCCTATCTATTTTTTGACAATGTTCTTTCCTAGTAATGAGAGTGTCTATTGACGCTCTCATTAAATATGTCATTGCCATATTTAACTTTAGAATCACTTGAAAGAAGATTAAACTCCCTTAAATTAGCTTCATCACGATGTTTTTGCCTTAAGTCAAAAACAAACACAAACGTAATAATACTCTCGATTAACTTTTACTGATATAAAACATGCTTGAACAATACGTTTTAAACTAGGATCAGCAACTATCTAAAAGCAATCGCATTGAACCAGCAATTCATTCTGTACATTGTTGTTTTAATTCTATTTTTTTAATACAATTTTGGAAGAATTACGTGTCGATCGAGATGAAAGAATCAACGAAATAAAATTTTTTAGTATGAGATTCATTTCGATAACAGCGATGAGCCTATAGATTAGCTG